GAAAATATATTAAATTTTATACTTTTGATTATTTAAAAAAAAATATTATTTTTTTATAGTATTTTTCATTTTTGAAATATTTGAATGAAAATGTTCATTATATTCATCATTAAATATATTTTTTACAATAAAAAGTTAAAAATTTGAAATAATTATATGTTTGTATGCATGCGAGCATGCGTGTGTGTGTAAGCGCGCGCGTATGTGTAATATTTATTTCTAATATTATAATATATAAAAAAAATAAATATAAATTGTAATGAGAAAATATATTTAAAATAATTTTATACATTAATTATATCTCTTTATATATATTATATCTCTTTTCTCATAATATTTTTTTGTCTAAAATCACGTATTTTATAAAATATATTTTGTAATATATTTTTTCATAAGCTAAAGATGAAAATTCTGCTTTTGAAAATGTTTTGTATGAGAAATTCTGTAAGAATCATCTATAAAAATTTTTGGTCAATATTATTAAAATAAAATATACTAATATCTTCCACATATGTGAATTTATTATAAAACATTTTTTCAAATTTATGGTTGATAATACTTCTTTCAATATATTATATAATATATAATCATTATTATAATCATAATAATTATCATTATCATTATTTTTTTTTAATGTTCTAAGTAAAAAGTTAATTTAGTAATTTTAAATAAAAATAAAAAAAATATTTTTTCAGGTTGCTTTCAGATCAGGAACAAACACAAGACTTGATGATCGAGTGTTTGCTATGTGTCAGTTAAAAACTATACCGTTATTTCAATTAATCCAAATGATTTATCCAGATCTTTATCCTATTCATGCGCTTGAAGATCGAAATGCAAAAGATATCGATGGTAAATTATGCCCACAACCACCTAGATTGCATCTTTCTGCTGAGAAACTTGACTCTAGGGGTGCTTTTCTAATGGATACTGGAGATCAGATATTTATTTTAATCGGCAAAAATATTCATTCTTCGTTTTGTTGTAATGTGCTTGGAGTTTCTGCTTTTCCATCAATACCAGAAGAATTTGTAAGTTCATATTTATATATTTATATATAATTCATTACCTGATTAATCGACGAATTCTTAATAAATGCTATTTAGTTTAATTCACTGAAATTTGATTCAATGAAAATGAATTTTCATTCAATGAAAATAAAAAAAAAATATTTTTTTCCCAGTATGAATTACCAGAAATTGAAACAACAGAAAGCGAAAGGTTACGAAACTTTGTATTTAGTTTGCAAGAAGAGAAACCCTATCCAGCTTCTATACAAATTATTCGGTGAGTTTTTTTATTTTTATGTATAGAAAGAATTATGTTTTAAATATAAAATATAGTAAAAAATATAAATGAAATACTTAATAAAAAATTGTTAATATTTTAAACTGTTATAATTATATAAAAAAAAATCATCACCAAAAATATTCAATCATAACAATTACTCTGATCTCATTTTAAAGAGTAAAACTTATTCATATTCCTGAATTCTTTTTTTTTTTTCAAAGTTGTTTTAATATGATGCATATAAAAAAATAAAAATTTCTTCATAAAAAATTTAATTTGCCGAGATTAATTAGTCGAACGAAATTATTTATATAATAGAAAATATATTCAAAATTTTAAACTTTTAATTTTCAGGGATGACAGTCATTTTAGGACACTTTTTGTTGAGCGATTAATTGAAGATCGTTTTGAAAATTCTTTGAGTTATTATGAATTTTTGCAACATCTTAAGACTCAAGTGAAATAATAATAGAAGAAATTATTTTGGAATTAATAAATACGGAAAGTATATAACAAACAAATCTTAACATGCAAAAGTCATTGTTACAGTGAAAGTGCTTAGCAATTGTGAACTGTGTTCAAAAAATACGAATTTTTTGAAAACAATTGTTTGATCAATTAATTAGAATGAAATACTTAGAGATATAAAAAAAATCATACATGTATGTGTATATATACATATATATATATACATATATGTATAATATATACAATATATATACATTTTTGTGTATACATACAGATATATGTATGTATATTGAAAATTATATGTTTATACATACATACATATATATATATATATATATATATATATATATGTATATACATATATACACATTAATCGACGAATATATACACGTTTTGTAGGAATGAATGTTATTTTTATTTTAAGAAACTTTGAAGCATTTAAATGAAATTCAACTGTAATTATTATTTTATTATCACTATAATAATAATATAATAATTGTTGTTATGCTTTTTTCTTGTAATCTTTTTGAGCTAGTTAAATGAATTTTTATATTTGTTTTGTTGCTAGAATTTGTAATTATTTGATTTTGTTATATCTTTCTCTTTGAAGAACTGCCAGAATTTTTTAATTTCGAATCCTCTTTTCAGTTATTTTGCTTTATATAATACATATCTGAAATATAATAGCTTGTTTAAAAATGATCAACTCAGATAAATAACTAGCTACAAAAAGTTTCCTTTTTGGTCAAAATCATTTTGTAAATAACTGTTATATATTTTACGTATACTGGAACAAAAATTTTATAATAAATTATGAATTATGATTTATCTTTAA